TCATTGCCCTGGTTCTAGTCGCACACTTACTTTTATCTGGAAACATGTTTTTACCATGAATTTTCAAATCCCTTTTCAAAACCTTCCTTCCAAACTGCTTGAGCTACAGTTTATATAAATTTGTCGCGAGGGTGCAGTTGTCTTCGTCTTGAAGAGACGAAGCGAATGACATAGGTCTGAGCTTCTGATTTTATAATTTGAGAAACCTGCAATTCAGGTTGGTTGGAGGTTGAAGATGACCAACGTGTCATCTTCCAACCAATGAAGGCGCGCCATCTGTTTTTTTTTTTGAAAATCTGATTTAATTAATGATCCCATGCTTTATTCACTAATGACCATGATTGCACAACGTGCCAGATCCCTTGGATTTGATTACTAACGCGTTTTGACTCCCATCCAATGGTCCATATGTTTTTTACTTTATTTTTCTTTTCTGATTTTTATATTTAATTGTTTTAAACTTCAAAAAATCATAGAAAATTCATTTTTAGTCAAAAAAATCTGGAAAAATCATGAAAAATATTTTTGATTATTCTCTTTCTGATTTTTATTTTTTCACAATTTAATTTTGTGTTTTGGTATTTTTTTACAAATTTTCACTTTGTTTGAATTGTTTTAAATGTTTAAAAATACTTTTATACATTTTTAAATTCTGAAAAAATTATGGGATGATCCAATGATATTGTGACAAATATTGGTGACCTCATTTTATTTTTATTTCTGATTTTGTTATTTTTTATCATTTTTGGTTTATTTTATTTATTTCTTTTAATTTTAAAAATAGTTTCTGACTTTTAAAAATTACCAAAAATTTTATAAAATCATTTTAATTCATTTTTGATTTTTCTATGGTCTTACTTTTTATTTCTTGATTAATTTGAATATAGTTGATATCTTTCTCTTTTATTTCTATTTTAAAACCTTTTTTAAAAACCTTTTTATGTATATATTAAATGCAATATTATTTTGTGATTATTTTCTGGCTGATCTTGTATTAAATTTTTGGTCATGAACTTTGTTAACATCATTGGATCCATAGTGTTGAGTCTAACTCCATAAAAATGGATGAATGGTTTTAATAATAGTTTGATTTAAATTTAATTCAAATGTGGTTTGTATATTCTCTCTTATCCCTCTTCATCTCATCCCTTTCTCATTGCACTAAGTGTTATTGGAGCATGATCTCTATATCATGTCTCAAAAAAATTGGTGCATAGATTGCTATTGACTTACCTCAAAATAGGTGTGACTTCTACATAAGTCCACTTACGATTACTTAACATAGCGCTAAATTTTGTCTCGATTCGAATAAATGATCATTCGTGGCCCAAACCTATGTTTGCAAGCCCAAGTATGTTAATTTGATCTCTTTGATCCAATAACCTTGAGATTTATTGTGTGGAGGTTTTGGTTCTACCAATCCTCTAATGGATCTACAACACTTTTGGTTAACGCGGATCACTTAAATATCGTTGATCATTAAATGATACTTTTGAGAATTTTCAAATGGGTGACATACTTGACAAAAAGCAAATGCAACTTGTTGTGTGGAGGCTTTGGTTCTACCAATTCTCTAATGAGTTCCAAATGCAAGCTTCAAGATGGTCATCCAACTAACCACTAATTATTAAATTGTTTTTACTTTATGCCCTTTTATTTTTTATGCTTTGTGTACCATTTACTTTAAGCATTACATTTCATGTCATTTTTATTTTGCTCACTTGAGCCTTTTCTTTTCTCTTTTAAGACACCTAATAATCAACATGAACCATAAATTTTTTTAATGATACTTGGACCATTTGGTTACTATCCTTGGCATTATGGAGTATTGGACTTCCTGGACTTAGGAATAGAAGCCTTGGCCTATGTTGGAGACCTTATGACCTTAATTGATATTTTGTCTGGAGTTCTTGAGGTTTATCTCAAGACATTGGGTTGTTTGTTTATTTTGTGTGCAGGTTATTGTGATTAAATTCTTTGTTTATAATCTGGAATTCACTCGTATACAGCCGTTACTCTGCCCAATTTTTGTGAAGACTTAATACACTTGAAGTTTGGTTCTCTCAAGAGGTCTAGTATCTTTGCTTGTTTGGTTTCAATCCAAAGATTGGGAATTCCATCTTGACTCATAATGTCAAGTATTGAATTCTTCTTAGTTAGATGGTTCTTATCCCTAGCTTTTACCTTATGCTTTAGGATAGTCCCTTCTTCTCCTCCCATCTTCTTTAATTTCAAAAATCTTCTTCCTCCTTTTGAAAACTCTTCTTGTTTTTTAAACTTGAACCACTTTCATAATAAACTTGGACTTAGGTCCATGTATTTTCAAAATATTTTCATAAATAAACTTCAATCAACTTAATAATACTTTGACATTTTTTTGTGAGAAGATTAAAAGTCAATCAATCTCATTTCAAATCATTTTTGCCACTTTGGCTTTTTACTTTAAAAAAAACTTTTCTCAAAAGATTGGACTCTTGTCAATCCTTATAGTGATGCAAATAACTATACTTCTACAATATGTAGTAAAGTGAGATATTTTCCACTTCGGTGTTGAGTGAGGCATTGTTGATTTTAAAATCCAAGCCATATCCTCCACTTTGAGATGATGCAAATTCTCTTTTCTCATGATTGTGGGTACTAAGTATGTTTTCCACACGGACAATGACAATGATGTCTTATCTCATAAAATTAACCAACACACTTGTGTTTTTTTTTTTAATTTTTAAAGAGGAACTACGTGTACCCTGATCACCTATTGCACGGAAGGTGGTACGTAGGCACTAAAGATTTGTAACTGCGGCGGTTGCAAAAATTATAAAAATATATTTCTTTTCTCACCTCCACCATCCATTTTTATACAATATTTTGTAGCCAAAATATATAGATTTTTTTCAAAGAGGTTCATGCGGAGTACCGTAGATGTTTAGGATGCTAATACCTTCCCTTTGCATAACCAACCCCCTTACCTAGAATCTTTCCCCCTCTTTTTGGGTTATTCACTCTTTTCCCATTCCTTCGGAAACAATAAAGTGTGGTGGCGATTTTTATTTTTGATTTGTACAAGTCTAGTCAATCCAATGACTTAGTCTTAAACATTTCTACCGCTACACCAGGCAATCACTATCTTTCAACAATAATAAAAAAATCCAAAACCCTTTCCTTTTCTTATCTTTTTTTTCTTCCTCAGTTAATAAAGGCAAGCAAACATCATACTAACATCGACTACAAAACTAACTAAATAGGTACCTTTAGTACAATGGATGTGAGAGGTGCTAATACTTTTCCCTTGTATAATCGACTCCCAAACTCTAACACGGTTGCGACGACCATCTTATCCATCTCTTTGCGGGTTTTCTCGATCTTTTCCCTTTCCTTTTGAAATAAATAAAATTCGGTGGCGACTTCATTGATACCTTTGAGCATGCAAACGCCTGAGCATTTTTCGTGCCGCAACATCGTGATACGAGAAAAATTGGTTGATCTTGAAGATCCAACCCAACAAATATGTTTCAATGAAGCGAGGCACATCGAACTTCATACGATGGTGCAGTATGTTGAGGTTTTGTTGAGCCTCATGTGATGAAATATTTTAGATACTTTGACATGTGGATTTTTCTCTTGGACCACTTAAATTGTGTTTTCTTCCACCCATATGCTATTAGGGGAACTTTTTAAAGTATTAAGAAAGTAAAATTTTCTTGAAAATGTACATATTTAATACATTGAAAATTAAAATGACCGATTTTTTTATAAAATATTTTCTTTATTTAAAATATTTAAAGAGTATTCGTGAGAAACTCTTTAACGTAGTCCTATTAATAAAGATGTGTAAGATATCATGATACAGGTGATAAAGACAACAATTTATTTTGAAGAGGGTGGATTCAAATTCCACCATTTTGAAAGAAAAAATATGTTGTAATTTAGCCATTAAGTCGGTGTCCGATAATGACATCACATATACAATATCTTATAAAATTATAAATATATATTTTTAATTTAAAGTCTAAGTTTTAAAGCAAATTAAAAAAAGTTTAAATTCACTTTTAATTCCCCAAATTTAATTTAATTTATTTAAATTTTAGTCAATCTATTTTAAAAATTATCTTTTTAGTCCATAAACTTAACGTCCCTTGAAATTTCTATAATTTCTTTTTAATTTTACATACATAACAATGATGATTAGGACAAAAAAATATTTTTAATAATATGACACAAAAATATTTTAAAACTTATTTACTAATTAATATTTTTACAAATAAGTTGATAATTAATTATTTAAATTAGGTTTTTCTAATAAATTATTAATTAATAAATTTTTAAAAATTATTGTTTGAAATTCAATACACTTAGAGTTCTTTTCAACCCGCACGTAAACCAATAAAAAATGTTTACACATGAGTCGAAAAAGAAGTATGCGCTTATACCCAAAAAAATTCTTTTAAAAATATTTATTAACTAATAATTAATTTTGAAAATATTTTGATTAAAATAATTAATTATTAATTTATTTATAAAAAATAAATAAATCTAGTCATTAATATCATATTATAAAAAAAAAAATTTTTTTGTCTTAATCAACATTTTCATTTAAGAACCAAAAAATTAATTTTTAAAATGAAAAATTAAAAGTTAAAAAACACCAAATTAAGAAACTAAAATTACATTTAAGAAAAAAAAAGAAAAATATAGATTTTAAAATGACCAAATAAACCGGCTGAGTCAAAAGCCATAAGGAGGACCGGTTAGGGCATTAGAATGGAAATTTAAACTGAAAGACATAAACCCTAATTCTTGACGGATAGAAATCCTACTACTCCAGGGTTTCCATCCAAATCATAAATCATCGCGATCAACAACAACCTTGTAGATTCAACCGCCACTTCTCAGGTAGCTCGTTTTCGTTTTTTAAAATCACATATACTTTGTTTGATTGGTTATGCTTATGCTGTTAATTGAAATTCTAAAGTTTGTTCATTATTGTTTGCATTGCAGCAACAATGAACGGAGTTAAAAAACTCAAGAGTGAGTCAACTGAGTTGCCTGATTGTGTTATATCGCATATCTTTTCCATGTTAAGTTTGAAGAATTTGGTGAAAACTAGTGCTTTGTCCAAACAATGGTATCACGAATGGGAATTAAGGAAGGACCTCACTTTTGATCTCCATAACATGTTTGACTATAATACAGTTCCGGACTTACCAATAACCCTTCCACTCTTTCAACAGGTTCAATCTCAATTTGCTGCAAGTTTGGATAATTTCATGCAGAAATATCATGGTGACATTATCAGTTCAATCCGAGTAAATTTTCCATTAGGTGTCGATCATACTTATGCCATTGATGGATTGATACACAAAGGAGTTGTTAAGGGTGCTAATCGTATTGAGCTCCTCTTCGCTTATGATACTGATTTTAAAATAGAGCCATACAAATTTTTATTTCCTTTCTTGTCAAGCAATAATTCTGTGACATATCTGCACTTACAGAACTGCCACATAGCGGGACCTATGGAATTTTCTGGATTGAAGAATTTGACAACTCTTGTGTTGCATCTCGTTCCTGTGAAGCAAAATATGTTTCGGGACTTGTTTTTTAACTGCACACATCTTGAGAACTTCAATCTTAACGAATGTACCTTCTTATCTGATTTAAGAATAAGGAGTACAACGTTGCTTCATTTGAACATTGACTGCGGGCGTATCATTACAAAGGTCACACAAGCGAGGAAAATTGATATCATTGCATCGAATCTCTTATCAATTGAATATTCTTCAAAGTGTATCTATTCACGCAGATTGCACATATTGAACATTAAGTCTCATACCTTATGCCAGTTTAACTACAGATGTATTGAAATTTCTAATCTTGTTAACTTTTCAGGAATGAAAAATGTGACAACAATTGTGTTGGATGGACTGCGTGAATATGTAAAAAGTGATGTGGTAACTCATTTGTTTTCTAAATGTCTCCGGCTTGAAGATGTCACCTTTAAGAAGTGCCGCTTCACGTGGGGGGATATGAAAATTATCAGTGCAAAGTTGCGTCATTTGGGCATAATTGATTGTCACTATAATAATCCTTATAAGATAGATATTGATGCTTTGAATCTCTCATCTTTTGAATATAGAGGTTACACGATGCCCATAATCTCTGTTGTGGCTCCAAAGTTATTGAAGGTTTTTTGGGATGCAGGTTTCAGAGAGATAAATGTATATAACTTTGCTACAATTGTAAAATTACATCAGGTTGAGAATTTAACTATGAATATAGGCTTTTCACTGGTGAGTCACTCAAAACACATACATGCTAGTTTATGTTTATGTGTTTGTCACTCTTAGGTATCCTTTAATTGCTTTTAATTCACTTTAAATGTTACTGGTGTAAACAGATATCCAAGATAAAGAAGGATTTGGTTGGATTTCAAAATCTTAGACATTTGGAATTATTTATTGTTGGAGCATACAATCCTAATATGGACTACTTTTGGATTTTAGATATTGCAATGGCTTCTCAGCATCTCCAAAAACTTTCTCTAACAGTGAGTTATTCTACCCTGTAGTTTTTGGATGCTCATTTTTTTTAATATGTTACAATTTACCTTTTTTATACATAATATTTATCTAAATAGTCATACTGAAATCAATCTTATGAAATTAAACTTGACTTGAACTATAAGTTTCATTTTCCTTTTCTAATATTTACGATGTTGAAATGGACAATTTCATTGAACTATATTTGCGTATTTAAATGTATTTTAGTATTATGATTATTTGCGTATTCAAGTTTCAGATTAAAAATGGACATACGGAAATATCACATATGGTTGGATCTCAAAGGCAAAGAAGAGAGTATGTGAGGTTTATTCACAATGGTTTAAAATATGTGGATTTACATGGTTGTGTTTGCTCCATAAATGTAATTGAGTTAGCAAGTCATCTATTGAGGAGTGCAACTTTGCTTAAGCAAATTACTTTAAGTTCTCGTCACAATTACTATACTGGTGCTGGAACACGGTCTAAGGGCTCCGATGGTTGTTGTTGGTTTGAACGGAATCTTATTCATGAACATCTTAAAGATGAAGTAAATGAACAATGTCAGCTTATAATTTTGTAGAGTTATGTTATTTAATTATAGTGAATTATGTCATGTTTCTGTTACTAGTGAATTCTTCCTTCCAACCTTGTATGATTTACTTTGATTTGAATTACAATATTATTGAAAGATCTTATTCAATCCACAACTGAACACTATCTCTAAGATTCTGTCATGTTCATCTTCTGAGTAAACTCTTGGAAGTATCCCACTATTCAATAATTATTGGTCATCAATATGTTAAGAACAGACTTTCAATTTCTGAATTGAAGTTGTTGAGCAAAGTGTCACGTTCATGTTAACCTTGTTGACATTAAACTTTATGATAGAACAATGAGGAAGCTGTTGATTGAAATCTTGAGCACTTGTTCGTTGAGCCTTCAGTGCTGTGTTGTAACACTATTCGAGAATAAACATTTGAATTGAACAGTATTCGGACAAACTCCTGACTCAAGAATAAACATTCTAATTGAATAATGATGCATTTTTTAATCATACATAACAATGCATTGTTTTAACCATGGTCTATTTATTACCATTTAGAGTTAATGCACATACATTACATATTTTTTACACATAAGATATTATATTTATATCATACATTAAATCAATAATCATCCAGAAGTGGACAAAGTGAAAATTGGTGTTGGAACGACAGAGGTCGAAGAAAATTTTGATCGATCGAATTGAGAAGTTGAAATCTGATGTGACATTGTGAGTGGAAAAGTAATTAGGATTAGAGCACGTACATTTTGGTGTCGAGGAGCTTTTTCCATTAGGAGTATCTGAAGTGTTGATTAGACATCAGGAACTGGAATTGTATTGCGGTGAGTCGTTGAACGAGTTGCATTGGATCTACAATTAGAGAGGCTATTATAAAACAATTGCGAAAAGGGTAACAAAGACCTGGATTAGTAATAGAAATGATTACAATGCTTATAGCAATTTGTTGTATTCTAAAATTTGCCCTCTTATTTTTCAAGGCATTTCTTACAAGGATTCTCAAGGTTCAAGCTTGCACAAGTACATTGGAATTTTTCAGTACCAAGATTAAAAGGAAACTGTCAAAAAGGGGAAAAACAGATAAAATTAATATTTTGACAAATTTGGAGAAAAACAAGTGTTTTTCGTTTCAGCTCCTTCGATTGGCCTTTTGGTCTCTTTCGATGCAAGCTTGACTTGCATCCTTCGACTGGGCGTTGGCCTCTGGTACGTTGACTTGGATTCACAAGGCACAAAGCCTCTTGTAGCCTCCTTCGATTCTAAGGCAAAAGGCTCCCTTTCGGCATCCTTTGATTTGCACTTTTTACCTCCTATATGCCTCTTTCGAATCTGGACATTCTGGCCTCCTGCATGCACCTTTCGTTTGGACATGTGGTTCCTTTGTTGCAAGCTTCATTTGGGCATTTGACTCCCTTCATGCTTGTTTCGTTTGGGCACATGAATCCTTCAGTACAAACTACTGGTCACACCTTTCGTTTGAGCATGTTGGTTTCCTTCAAGTAAGCTTCGTTTGAACATAGATCTTTTGCATGTTTGCATCAAGTCACAAAGCAGAGACCTCCTATGTAAACTCCTTCGTTTGGAAACATAGACCTTTGGGCAGACAAGCCTTTGATTGGACAAAACCACCTTCACAAGATTTCGTCTATAACTGTGCCTCCTTCGAATCAACATCTTTAGAATCCAACTATGGGCATCCCATTCGAAGGACATGCTTGATGGTCCATTCGAAGGATTTACAAGTCCACTTTAAGGCATGTTTTTGGTGACCCATCCAAGGGTCACACTTTTGGCTCCTTCGAAGGATGCACAAAAGTGACTCAATCGAAAGGCACTTGTTAGAGGAAAATCAAATAGTATTGTTGGAGAAGAGTCTGGTCGAAGAAGGGTCAAAACGAATGGGTAAAATATTCAAAGATGCTTGCTGTCAAGTTCAGACCTGATACACTGGCCAAGACTGCTGCACAACAATCCTGAAACACTGCCCCATTCTTGCACCAAAATAGCATACAAGACATTGTCTCTCGAAAGTTACAAGGAGCAGGTTACTCAATTTGTTAAAACCTTTTGTTTTGCCTCCAAAAGCTTCAAGCAACCTTGTCTATAAATAAAAGGCTCTAACACATGTTTGAGAAGGACTTTTTGGCCAGAGGAACGAATCTTCTAAATTCTCAAACACCATAAAGTTCTCAAACGCTTAAACACTTATGAAAACAAAAATACAGAATCCAAACACTTATCCCCTTCGAACCTGAAATATCCTTACATCTTGTTACCCTTCGAATCCAGCAAGAAAAACATTTCACTTGTTTTTCTCTTTCGAATCCAACAAGAGTGACGCTAACCTCTGGTCCCTCCCTTCGAATCCAGTAGCATTCAAGGTAACTACCTAAAGGCCCAGCGCACGTCCCAACCTCAAGTAAGGTAAGTCATCCTTAACCTTGGACCCTTCATTTCCAGCACAACATATAAATAAAATTCCTTTTTGTTTCAAACATGTACATAACATTTGTTCCCCTTTCGTTTACACCCTTATAGTTTGTTTTTATTGCCTTTCCTTTTGATTTTGTTCTTTGGTTTCTTATAAATGTTTTAAGAACTAACCTGGCCTTAAGGCAGTGCTAGCATGGCCTTAGGCCATGTTTCTATTTAACATCTCAAACTAAGGAAACAGGAAACAGAAAGTAGGGAACGAAGTCTTTGGCTTTCCACACTAACCTCCAGGTCAAACAAAAGAGGCAGCCAGAGGGTACACCATATTAACTTTCAGGCCTAGACAAAAGGCACGCCTGCACTGAGTCCAGGCCCAGACGAAGGCACTCTCTCACTACTTTCCACCCCCAGTCGAAGGAGGCAGAAAGACAGATTGCATCTTGCACTGGTTTCAGGCCCAATCGAAAGGCACAACATGCTGACCCCCAGGCCTTAGTCGAAAGTCACGCCTTCACCCTTTTCAGGCCAAATCGAAGAGAGCCAGAAAGTGCATAATTGAAGGGTTTGCTTCCCTAAATCGAAAGACTCATTTTTCTTGATTTTGTTTTATTTTTGCCTTTATATTTTCATGCAATTAAATATGGTTGTAATAGTGTAAGATTTTATCTTTCTGCATTTTATTACTTTTGTATGACTGCTAGTAACATAGGGCATGTATGACAAGATAAAAATAACAAGTAGAGAACCCCCAATCAAAGACTAAATGCATTCAAATCAAACACATTATTCAAACATGCACCCTTAGGGTAATCTCACTTGTTTCCTCGGAAAAATAGTCATGTCCATCGAATATGGGCATTTTAGAAAAGACCCTCTGTAATACGGTGGGAGAACTGACTTGGACGTTTTACGTTTGATCGCAAATGTTGCGGTTATCAAGAGTCGCCATAGAATTTTCTTTTATCCAAAAGGAAAGGTGAAAAAGCACAGGAAAGACCTTTGAGATTATTTCTTGAGTTCGGGGGGTAGATTATGAAAAGGGAATGTATTGGCACCCTTTTCATCCATGGTTTTCCATGGGCTCTTAGTTACTTGCTAGATCACTTGCTTTTGTTTGAAATTATGCTTTGTTTGTTTTTGAAAGTATTTTGTAAAGAGGCCATTGTTTAGGCAATCTTTGTAATGATTCTCGTTCGTAAGAATGTATACAAAGATATTGATCTTTTGAAAATATTTTCAAGTTTGTAAGATGTTTTGAAAGTGTAGGTGCTTGTTTTGAAAATAACAAGGATGTTTTGTTTGAAATTGAGCAAGTAATTAGGAGCATTCTACCTACTCAAAAGTCTTTCTTGTTCATTTTCTTTTTCTTTGACATTGTTGTATAACCATTGATTTGGTAAACAACCCTATCTTTGGATGTAAACGGGACGGACGTGGGTCATCGTATAACCATGATTAGAAATGTTGCAAGGTATCTTAGCATTGTTTTTGAGGGACTAAGATCATTTGAAAGGCAACTTAGATAGCGTCATCGAGGGACTATGATCTTATATTTGCTTTGTTTTTGCTAAGATACCTTACATGTGTAATATGACTATTTTGTATAAGGCAACCAAGTGGAATAACCCTAGGGGTGCTTGTGTGCAAATGTATTATTTTCATGCTTGTTTTTGTATTGAATTAGGGTTTTCTAAGTATTAGTTTTAGTCTTTCCATACAAACCCTAATTACTAGTATGTTATATATAAAAGCGATAAATTGCGAAATTTAAAGTTACTACGCTATTACAACATTTGTGGGGAGTGGGGTATACAAATTGAATGAGGATTGCAAAAATGTAAACCTAGTTAGTCTATTACAACTATATTGAATGGGTATCAATGTACAAGGAATTAAATAGATACAATGTACAAAAGTGAATAAATATACAAAAATATAAAATGTGAAGTAAATGGATATATGTTTGATTTTTTAGAAAAAAGAGATTTTGTCTTAATATAATTAATTTAAAGAAAAATAATTAATAAAATAAGTAAACCCTAAATTTGTTTAAGAAAGGATTTTTTTAACAAAACCCTAAAGTTAAAATAAAAGAAAATAAGTTTATGAGAAAAGTGTTTTTTGGTATTTTTATGTCTTGAAAATATTTATAGTATTATAAAATATTTTTAGCCTTTTTTATATTAAAATAGTATATTTAATGGGTGTAAAAGAAAATAAGTAAGTAACCTAGTTTTAATTAAATTTACAAGATAATAAGTAAAAAATAAATAAGGTATGATTAATAAAATGATTTTTGTGTGAGAAAAATAAACAAACTAAGTTAAAATGAAAATCTAACATTTTTTTGTATTTTTTTATGATTTTTTAGTATTAGGAAAATATTTTAAGAAAATAAAAATAATGAAAATAAAGAAATAAAATAAAATTGGGTCAAGGTGCAGATAGCCTGCAGGGGGGTGAGGAATAGCAAAAAAAATATAGGCCCAAAGCTAGAGCCCAGCGCCTGCAAAAAAAGTCAGAAAAAACAAAAAAAATGTAAAAAATACAAAAGGGTACCACTGGGGCTCGAACCCAGGTCCCAT